CTCCTCGTCCAAGGAGGCGAAAGATAAGGCGAAGTCTAAAGACGATGGCTCCGCCTCAGAGGCCCGGGACGCCAGCCAAGTCAAGTCTGAGGCCGAGTTCGATGCTGAGGAGGACGTAGGCGCGCTGGATGAAGATGACTTCGAAGAGGTCGCTGACCGCTTTGAGAGCTCGTACAATTTCCGCTTCGAAGAACCGTATGTCCCCCTCGCCACACCTTTCTCTAATGCGCATATAGTCACCTTGGCTTGTCCCATGCAGAGGTGCGGCAGAGATTGCACGATACCCCCGTAACATCGACTCGCTAGTGCGGCGGCCGGACACAGTGCGGAAGGAGGCGCGTGAGAAGCGCAAGGCTCGCAAAGAGGAGGAACTCTTGAAGAAGCGTGAGGAAGTCAAGCGCCTGAAGGCACTCAAGATGAAAGATATTCAATCGCGCCTCGAGAAGATCGGGAAGGAGGGTGGGAAGAGCCTCGCAAGTAAAGGTACGTCCGACCGTTCTCATAACATCGATCAGCGCCCGCTAACGAGAGGCCGCGCGCACAGCGTTGCAGGAGTTGGACCTGGATGGGGACTGGGACCCAGACGCTCACGACCGCCAGATGAAAGAGCTGTACGAACGCGAGGCGGATGCCGGGGCGGACGTCGACGACGAGAAGCCAACGTGGGACGATGATATCGACATCGGGGATATCGTCCCGCCCTCCGAGAATGCAGACGACGACCACACGGAAGCTAGCTCGAGTAAGAAGAAGAAAAGGAAGAAGAGGAAAGGAGGAGAGAATGATGTGGATACTGCCGGCGTCGACATCGACGATATGGATGCGGAAGTTGAGCGCCCGCGGGCAGAGGATGGGGAATGGGATGGTTCGGAGGAAATGCGCAAACGCGCGCTGGAGAAGTACATGGATGAGCTCTACGAGCTCGAGTTCAACGACCTGGTGGGTATCCCATCAATTCCTCTACTAGTACTCCTGCTCATAGAACGATCTAGGTTGGCGACCTTCCTACACGATTCAAATATGCCCACGTCGCTCCTCAAACTTTCGGGCTTTCCCCATCCGAGATCCTCATGGCTACGGATGCAGAGCTGAACCAGTTCATGGGCATCAAGAAGTACGCGCCCTATCGGAACGAGGGCAGGGGTAAGAATTGGGATCAGCAGCGCACGACGCGGCTAGGAGAATTGAAAGGCAAGCTCCGAGATCGTGGAGTAGAGGCTAGGGAGGACGCTGCGAGCAGGCAGGAGATGCCGAAGAAGCGGAAAGGGAAGAAGGAGCGAATGCGCGTCAAGGCCGCTAAGGTTGGAGTGAGTGAAACGGGGGAGGGTGACAATGACGAAGATGCATATGATGGCGGGGAAGTGGATGAGGACTCGGGTCGAAAAGCAAAGCGGATGAAGATTGAGGAGCAGGCGGAGAATGGCGACGGGCAAGACGCGTCGACCAAGAAGAAACGGAGACGACACAAAAAGTCGCATCATACAACATCAGTTGACGAGGAACTTTGAATACTGTTGCTTTCATACATCTGACAATGCATGCACATCGCTGATGTCTTTCTGGCCCATCCAAGCACAAGCCACACCGCCAACGTGCGATGACCTATATTCAACTTCTCGGCCGATCACACCCGTCAATAGGTCTGGGTGCACAATTGAATTCAATATACGAACATGGTGATAGCAATCATAGCACTATCTTCCCTGACATGTGCCGACCATAACGGCACTCGCCTGGGTGCGTGCTATTAATGATACAAGACCTTCGCACCATCTCAGTCTATGAGTACGATTCACTGAAGCTGGCTAGTGATATTTCAGTGAGTGATATTCCTCTGCGATAATCAGACCTAACAGTTGCTCTCTATGTTTCGGTTCCACACAGTGTAGTCCCGCAACAACCGTGGCCACTGCCACAGGCCTTCGTCAGTGATCGAAGCTCGGAGTGGATAATCATGTACACAGCGGCTTTGTTCACCAAGGTCCGATCTGGCGTCCTGCCTTGCGGGTCCCACAGTCGTATGGCGAGCCTCGGATGTTCACAGGCCAAGCATCAGAGCTTAGGATAGGTACTATCATGCAAGAAGACGTCGCGCTCATAAAGCAAGCTTCCCACTTGTTCGCAGCCAAGTTATCGACCCGGTGCCTAAGTCTCGCCCAGGATGGCGCCCATCGTTCGATTGGCCACTTGCCTCGCACTCTCAGCTCTTCTCTTCCCTGTGTCGGGCGTTCCATCTGGCTACTCGCATAGTGTTGTGCATGAATCGCGCAGCCACGTCCCCCGTGGATGGAACGCTGTCCGCCGCGCAGAGCCTGATCTGATGCTTCCTCTACGCATCGGCCTTGCCCAGCCCAACCTCGAGAACATCGAAGCGTACCTCCTCGAAGTCTCGCACCCATCTTCGCCCAACTATGGAAAACACTGGACTCCCGGCCGCATCGCGGAGACATTTCGCCCCACTACCGAGTCTGTTGACATTGTCCGCTCATGGCTTGTAGACGTTGGTGGGCTCGAGTCTGAGCACGTACGCCTCAGCGTAGGAGGAGGGTGGTTGCAGGCCGACATCTCTGTAGAGGAGGCGGAGCGCCTACTCGAGACGGAGTACCACGTCTATCAATTCGAGGACGACGCAGCGCGCACACATGTTGCATGTCATGAGAAGTACCACCTTCCTGAAGAGGTCGCGAAGCACGTCGAGATTGTGACGCCGACGCTGCATTTCGACGTCAAGCCGAAGAGCAAGCCCGTACTGCTTGAGAAACGCGACGCGCCTTCCAGCGAGAGCGTCAATGCACATGCCGTAGGCCAGCCTGGATTTGGTGCTTCCTTCCTTAAGACCACTGGGATCACTCAGGTGCGTGTGTCTTTCAGCCATAGGGACGGAGAACTGAAGCTTTGGTTTCGGTAGGCCCAATCGACCTCGGACCTCGCATACTGCAACGAACAGATTGTTCCCGATTGTTTGCGCGTGCTTTATAGTTTCAACTACACACCAGTTGCTCCCGAACGCAACTCGATCGCTATTGGTATGTTCATTGCCATCATATAATGCAAATCTCTTATACCCTACAAGTCGAATACACTCCGCAGGCCTACGTAGCGACGGATCTAGACATGTTCTTTGCCAATTTCTCGCCCACTCAGGTTGGCGAGAGGCCAGTGCTGAACAGCATCGATGGTGGTACGAATTCTCGAGCAGCTTTTCAATGTGTCATCTGTTGAATTGGTGATCACAGGTTTTGTACAGACCAACCAAACAGGATTTGACTACAACGGCGAATCCAATCTAGATTTGCAGTATGCGATGACGCTCGTCGGTCGTACGCAGTCTGTACAGTTGTATCAGGCTGGAGACGATGTCGAAGGTACGCACATGTCCTTAATCATCGAAGACAACGTACTGGACAGATCACACCTCGCATAGGGGCGTCATTTGGAAACCTTCTTGATGCCCTCGATGCGTCCTATTGCTACTACGATGGCGGCGATGATCCAGAGTACGATGCGATCTACCCTGATCCGTACGGTGGATATGAAGGTGTGTATAATTGGTCCCATGATGTAGTCGCATTCTTGAGCAAGAATCACACCAGGTCCCGAGAGCTGTGGAACTGTGAAGCCAGCCTACGTTATGTCGACCTCATACTCATACAATGAGGCCGATTTGACTCCAGCGTACGAGGAGAGACAATGCGCAGAGTACGCAAAGGTGAACTTAAAGTTCACTAGCGGTATCATATAGCTCACCGAGTCATGTAGCTCGGCTTGTTGGGCATGACCATCCTATATTCCTCCGGTGATTACGGCGTCGCGGGGAACGGTGGCTTATGCTTGTACGCGAATGGGACACAATCAGTCAATGCTTCAGACTTCAACCCATCGTTCCCGGGAACGTGCCCATACATAACCAGCGTCGGCGCAACGCAGGTGAACCCTAACTCGACAGTGAGTATCCTAAACTATCCGAATCAGTATAAACTCTTTACCAATTTGTCACGCACTCCCAGGTATACGAACCGGAGAGTGCATGCGAGCAGGTCATTTATTCTGGAGGCGGCTTCTCAAACGTCTTCGCGATACCGTCGTACCAGAAGACTGCTGTGGAGTCTTACCTGAAAGACTACCCCCCTCCATACCCACCCTATCTGTATAACAGCTCTGGAACGTCGCGTGGATACCCAGATATTTCTGCCAATGGGTAAGGAGCCGTCTAAACCGACACATACGATATACAACAGCACTGACCCTTCCATGCGTAGCGCGAATTATGTGGTCGCCATCAACGGCGACTTTTATCTCGTCTACGGGACCTCGTGTTCTTCGCCCGTTTCCGCCACCATCTTCTCTGCGATCAACGATGCTCGTCTTGCATCTGGAAAGGGTCCCATTGGATTCATCAATCCAACAGTACGCGTTTCACCTCACTCATGAGATCCAATAACCACTGATCGATATCTCAGATATACACCTCTACATTCATGAGGGCATTCAATGACATCACTACAGGATCTAACCCTGGATGCAATACTGAGGGATTCTACGCACAGCCCGGTTGGGACCCCGTCACCGGAGTCGGTACGCCTGACTTCAACAAGCTGGTGGAGCTATGGCTTCAGCTTCCTTAGACACAATGCGTGCTGTTTGAGGGGCCTAAAGTTGTTCGAGACAAAACAATGATATTGCCTGTCATAAAACTTGACTTCTTGTGCGCGTAGCCTTGCGACAATGGCCGCTACTTGCATGGACATAGTATTGGAACAAGGCTTGAACGAGAATTGGGATACTAATCAGACCTTGTATGTGATGTGTGGCAAACCTCGGACAAGTGGATTTTGCCCGCGAAGTACCGATATTGATGTTCGCATTCACCATGCAATATGCCATATGCAGCCCATGCGGATGATAGACTCTATACGACTTACAACGAAGGTCGCGTTCAAGGAAGTCTTGATGGTTGTGTGCCTTCGGTACAGTAGCGTTGTTTGAGACTCATTTACGAAGCCCGTTTAGCTCAGTGGTAGAGCGCGCCACTCGTATGGAATGAACTGTTCAGTACAGTTGGTTACGCAATATGGTGAGGTCACTCGTTCGATCCGGGTAGTGGGCATTACTTTTATTCTTCAAGATCTGAGGTCATGTACACATCTTGACACTGCATTTCACAGCGGAGAAAGCTCATATGCTGTTGTGTGCCATCTCTGGCGGCCGCTATCACTGTTGGTGACATGCTGTTACTTTTGATGTCGACGGGACTCATGCGAGAAAGGCACATGCTCCTTACTACTTATTACATGGTAACAGACTGATACAACCTGTTCAAATATGGCATTGACAGTAGAGGACAATGGGTACAAGGCGCGATTAATACAAGAACACGTCCATGACGGTGGGATGCTTCTTCACGAGAGCGACCGCTTGACGGCGACGGCAGGCATCAGCGTCGCACGACGGAGGAGCAAGAAGCATGCTTTGGGGAGGCTTCGATAATGCAACAGTGTCTTGGGTAGCGGGATCTGCCTGCATCAGCGAATGCCACTGCAGCCACCTCGGCGCGTCCTTTTCCGGATCGCGGAAGAGGAAACGGCAGACATGAAGATGGACTACCATGGGGAATTGAAATCAATCGGTTGGGGCGATTACGCACAGAGAAAGTGAGCAGCGCGAGGCATAAGAGGGTACCCATGAAGTCTACGAAGCATCGTCAGTGATGGCAGGGAATACAAGTAGCAGGAGAATTCGCTCATCGATGTCTGCGCCTGGCAGTGGCTACGCCGCGGGTCAGTATCTGGCGGCGATGATCAAAGGCACAGGTTTCGCACTTACCAAATCCGCTCGGGGCGCCAGGCATTGTGCTGCGCAGCTGGGTAAACGCGAACAACGTCTCAACCGGCACCACCAAGATTTCGCCCCTGACTCCCTTCCCAAAGAATACGGAGACAACACATACCTAGACAAACATAATCGTGATCATCCCTAGGGCAAAAGGAAAAGTGGGGATCATTGAACGAGGCCGCTAGTACCAATGGACAACAACACTCACATATCCCGATGAAAAGCAGTAGGACATACAACCGGATGGCTGGCGCTCGAGTGAAGACATCGTGCGCGACCACCATATGTATTGGGGGCCAACTTAACATTGAAGCCGCTGAGACGAGTGTCCGGTGAGTGATGCAGATTCGCAAGTGGAAGACGGTGATAGACGTACACGGCAACGCCAGCAGTCCCTCCAATATCTATGGGTACGAAACTGTTATCTCTTGTAGACTGTGCAAATCACAAGCGAGCATATATGTCTGCCAGAATTCAGGATGATGTTTCGAAGTTGAGGCATACATAAGGGTGCTCACTCGTCGAAATGATCCGACTCTGCCCTGCGGCTGATAGGAATTATGTTGAACATAGCCACTTCCGTCCTAAACGCGAGCGAGTTGAAGCGGAAACCGTCGTCTCCAACTTGATAGTCCGTAGCAATGATGGTGAGAACGGGGGTTAAAACATCGTTGTTCGCTATCTGAGCGGACCCTTCTCTGCGCAACAAAGTCCTGCGGAGTTGAACACAGCAATTGCGGTGGCCCTGCAAGTACGCACTCGTCAAATAAATATTCACGTCCGGACAGTCCGATGTCGATGGCACAGAATCATCGGGAGAGTAGTAATACAATGACCAGTCGAATGTTATACATTGCGAGTCCGAATTCACAGAAACCATATAGGCGTCCACCTCGAGCTAAGAGGCAGCGTTCAGATACACTGCATGATAACAAGACTAGCACAACTGTGCTACTACTCACCGCGACCGGCTTAGTAAACATTTGATCGTCAATTTCGTCTTCAATGTTTCGAAAACCACGCAGTTGGAGAGACCAGCCGACTGCGATACCTTATGCTGACGGCGATGAGCACAAATAGCGTGGTGGCGACGATCGAGTGCTTCCGTACGAAGTGCATAGTCTCAGTGCTTGCACTGAGTAAATAGCGCCATCCTTTTCACAAGATTCGCCTGCATAGAAGTTGGGCCGTAGATGAATGCGGATCGCTGTCGTCAAGAAAGGTGCATCTGGAGAGCGTGCTTCCTGGTATCCTCAGTGAGCTCGGGAGGTCATCGAGAGCTGTAGTCGGCTGCGCCATGTCGGCAGGCAGCTCGTTAGTACTTACCAGTACGGTCCGTGGGGGCTAACGCTACCCAGGATTATGAGAGACCCGGTCTGATGAATGGATATAACAAAGAAATCAACGGCTATATCCCGAGGACAATCATGTCAATTGTACCTCGGAGGCGCAGTATGATGGGGAGTGTCGGGCATCGCCGGGCCAACTGCGGACGCGGACCGAGTAGCAGCAAAGACTCGGGAAGGACACACGTACCTATTTGAGGGAGCCGGCGCGCCCCTTGGCCATGTACATAGCATCCCCGGTGATAATATGCACCCCGCGCGAGGTGTGGCGACCGCGCTGGCGCCCCGAGTTCTGCCCACGTCGGGATCCTCCCTGGAGTGCGTACGTCACATTGTTGCGCCGCCGCCGTATCTCGCCAGTCTGCACAGACTCGCATAGTGTAGTCATAGTGTCCGTGGACGGCTCCCGCGAGCAATGAGACCAAATGCAGTGATATAGTCCGGCGTCCAATTCGCGTGGGCTGTTCCTGAGTCAAGGCGACATGGTCCCCTATACGCCGGGAACCCACCCATGCGCACTCTCAACAGTACCCTACGCGTGGAGGCGTGTAGGCGCTAGCCAGTGGGCCGTACGGAGGCAGGGCATGATCCTGAGTATCGACATGCCAGAGGTAGTGGCACGCCCACAGACTGTTTCACCTGCCTATCTGACCTCGATCTTGTCTCCCGAGTCGTCCCGACCCACTTTAGGCGTAGATCGCGGCTTCAATGAGCATTCACTCCACCCACGGTGGGATCTGCGTGTCGGAGCCCCCCTATGTGGACGCAAGTCCGCAGGCGCAGGAGGCAAGCCCGGAACGAGTCTTGCAATATTTCTGTAGAGAGTGCTGAGTATCAGAAAAGGCGCAGGTGCAATGGTATCACTTGGCAGCATGGAGGTAATTTAGTCACAAAAACAATTAGTGCAAAGCGACCCAGAGGCCACCAGTAGAGCAGTATGCGAGAGGGGTACGTACTGCAGGTATGTAGCCTGAGCTGCGCTCGCACTCCCACCGTCCAGGATGAGTGCAGGATCCGAGACGCGTCGTACCAGACTATCCAATTTGACGTTGAGCAACGGAACAGGCTATCAATGACCGCACCGAGGATGATTCAAGACACTCCCGACATCCGTAGTCCATGGGAAGAGTCGGAAAGCCGATTCCGAGTGTGGATACTGATAGGACGCTATCATCCAGGGCCTGTGTCCGTACCTCCGACGTTACGGAGGGATGGTGATCTTTAGTAACTCTTGTGAGCTTGCTTCTGTGTGCCTTGGTCCGCGACTTCGTAGCGCGAGAGAATTTGTGCCTGGTATGGGGAGTGCGAACCACGCTGGACAGGTTGGGCTGTCGACGATCGGGGTATATGCGGCCGAGCTAGTCCTACGTGTACGTGCGGCACCGCGAGACCGACGAGCGAATGTTCGAAAGCTGAAACAACAATAGGGCGGCCTATCATCCGGCTTCAGCGAGCCTGATTATGAGCTGCCAGGCGGGTCTAGATACATGCAATCTGAGCGCGCGGATGAGCGTAGGAACAATAAACAGACATGAGGATGTCAGCATTCAATCGGACGTGCATGTCCGAAGCAGTGGTGAGAAATAGCCTGTCGATATTGACACGCTGAAGGCTTGGGTACTGAACTTTCTCAATAAACAGGCGCCACAAAGCCTCCACCGCTACTCTGTTCATATACACTCATCAGCGAGGACCAGCGTACTGGGGACAGCAAACTGTGACTTGCGTAACGGAGTGCATTTGCGGGCCCGTTGTGTGGCCACGTCCCGTGTGAGTGCATGACCTACGACCCAATCAATTGTATCATGACGCATGTCTTGAAGAGGTGGCCCGGGCGTCACGGCCATATAAAAGGCTCTCTGAATTGATACTGCCTTCTCAAGTCGACTGGTCCAGATTCGGTGTAGCCTCATGCTGCGAAGAGGAGGAGGAGGCGGAAACTGATTTTGGGACTTTGAGTGGTCGTTCGAACTTCGAACCGCATATGGGTTTAACGCTGGCGCTATCTTTCGGCGCTTACACGTTTGCCTCCGTGCGTTCATCTCCTCAAGCCTGCTGCTGAATCTGCTGATCCTGACAGTGTAGTATGGCCATGGCCATGGATTATTCACGGTGTTTCGAAAAGGATTCTAGTCAACGCCCAGAATACGAGGGGTCCGATGGGCGGAATCACTGGGTAATCACTCACTTCGACTGCCACGCCCACTGGCAAGCCGACAACATGCCCATCACCTCACGCCCGCGCTACGACGTAGCGGCTTATTGGCATAAGTCACCGCCGGGATGGGAGTAACAAGATGGATGAGCTAGGGCATCACCTATTGCTTCGCCACGTCCGCACAGCCGCCACGTCGTGTCCACATGCGCGACGGCCCCCCATAGGCATACTAGTATCACGAACCACATGGGCGGTGAAGATATGGTAAAAGCTCGCAACTTCGATCTTTCAGGGATGCTGAATACGGATTATCCGGAAAATATGGCAAAGAGCTTGTCGTCTCTTATGTATACTGCTTGGTGCTTGGGTGCAAGAGAATGTTACTCGCTGCAGTCACCTACCTACATGGAGGAGAGCGTATCTCATGACCCATCTCGGGGGGCGTCAAGATGAGCCTTCTGCGAAAGATATCCATGCAAGGAAGAAACGTCTTTCCCCAGCAGGGTCTTCTTGTTCTTCATGTGCTTCTCTTATCACACGACCTGCCAAAACAATCAAGCAAGAATACAGGCAAATGAGGTCTCGGTGAATGATGCCCGAGATACGTACTACCATCCGCCGGTCTGATGAAGATAGACAACAGCGCTGTCCGCTGCCATGGTGAATACTCAATCCGGTGGCTTATACTAAGGCCAGAGACAGTAGATGCCGGGCACGTATAAAGCAGGCCAACTATCTATGCGTTCCCCCGTGGTACAGCGAGTCCTCGCC